AAGAACAAGAACAAAATCCCCAATTATTTATCAAAGAAACAATTGATGGGATAGAACATAATGGGAAGAAAGAGAGAACACAATTGAAGGGTATTTAGGATAAGGGAAAGGTTCCTATACTTCCCCTACAGCATAGAAGATCTATGTTTCCCTACAATCCAGCCGTCTAATTTTGATCAAGAGAGCCACTCACCATTTGATCTTAGATCCAACGTTTCAAAGTATTTTATTTTTAGTTTTTTTTTATACAAATTGTATAAATATAAAATTTGGTATATGCCATATTCTCATTGGGGGCGCACCTATAAAAAATATAAAAAATAATTTTTAGATAAAATATAATGACCAAAATACCTTTCAAAAATTTCAATTATATTTTGGTCACTTTAGTTTATTGGAAATATTTGTTTTATATTTTTCGCTAGTGTGAGTTTAATAGATGATTGGACATACAAAATTTGGTGTCAAAATAGTTTGTATAAAAAAAATTAAAAATAAAATAGTGTAGAGATGTGATATTATGATTGGGGCAATCTTAACCCTCCATTCAGAATGGACTATTGGATAAGGGGAAGTATATAAGTTTTATTTTATAGGGAAAGCATAAAAAACTTACCCTTAGGATAAATCTCTTAGAGAGAGAAAGAGAGAGATCTCGGGGGTTATATTATTGGCTACCAGTGTTGATATCCAGCATTGCCGACGTGAGGCTAATGAAGAGGCTGATTCTCTTGTGAAATGAGGGGTTTATTCTTCTTTTTTGAGGGTTTCTGTTTTCAATGATTTTTCTTTTATTTTATCGTATACCTTGTACTATTACTGTGATTAATAGAAGTCTACACTAATGTAAAAAAAGAAAAAAAGAAAAAAAAATAGAAATCTCGAGGGATACCTTTATTCTAGGGTTGGCAACGGGGTTGACAACGCGATAGGTACTAGTCAACCCGACCCTAAAAAAGTAGGGCCTGGACCTGTGGGCTGAGGGCTGGGCTAGGGCTAGTGAGGGCCCTACCCAACCCTCTATTATTTATTGATTTTTTTTATTTTCTTTTCGATTTTTTTAATTCTTTTGGTTTGGCCTAGCCTGATCCATTGCCACCCTTAACTTCATCATAAAAGAGTCCAAAAAATGGGGCCGAGGCCATGGTGGTAGTACCACAAAAAGTCTTATCCATTCTAAGTAATAGATTCTAAAATTGACTTTTTTTATAAAACACTAAGGCGTGTGTCTCCACGGACTTATTCAAAATATAAACAAAAGTAAGTGAAAAAAAAAAAAAAAGAAAGAAAAGATTTCGAAATATTTGGAGAGGAGAGACATAAGGGTGTGGTTTCTATAAGGTGCTTAAACAATCCAATTGAGGCATAACATGTATTTTTGGCGTAAAAAATTCTTAGGATTATTTAAAAATATATTTTCATATCTAATTATGAAATTTTTAATTTTAAAAATAGTTAAAATCAAGTAGATCAATAGACATATGAAAATCTTGAAAATGAATGGTCTACATAATATGTTATAAGATGCACTCTTTTTTAGACTCAAAATCCTTTTTTTTTTTTTATATTCATACATCTCGACATCGAGAGAAGATCAATTAGAAAGTTTTTCAACATTAAAACAACCTTTTTCGGATGGATTTTTGACGTGCATTATGTAATTCTTGCAACGCTATATAAACTTTTTCCGAGATATAAAAAGCATAGATAAATGGAGGGACATTTTTTCCGAGATATAAAAAGAATAGATAAATGGAGGGACATTCAAGATATTAGAAAGGAGAGCAATGGGCAGATTGAGAGAAATTTAAATATTAGATAAAAAGGAAAAGTCAAAAAAAGGGCCCCTGCATCGAACGCGATGCAAGCCGTATGTTTTGAATGAGGGAGCTGGGACACGGTCTACTATGCCCCTAAACAGCCCCCCAAACTGCCACAAATTACCGTTCTATTTCTCCACTTTCCTAAAACTCTTTCTCTCTTTATAAAAAAAAGGTTCCGAGTATTTTCTCTCTCTAAAAAATGAAATGACCTTTATTAACTCCAAACTCAAGTGACAAAAAAAAACCGGTCAAACACTGTGTGGGAAGCCCTGAAAACCCTGTACCAACACAATCACCTTCCCATCCCATACTCTTAGAGAGAGAAAGTTAGAGAGAGACTAGCATTTGTGTGTGTGGGATGTGAGAGAGAGTGCTTGAAGAGAGAGAGTTGCAATTATGCGAGATGAGTGTGTGTTAGAGAGAGAGTGCTTGAAGAGAGAGTTGCAATTATGTGAGATGAGTGTGTGTTAGAGAGAGAGTGCTTGAAGAGAGAGAGAAAGAGTAATTGAAGAGAGAGAGAGTATACTTGAATTGGAAGGTGCTAGTTTGTTGGTTTTAGCCTATAGTTTACCTACCAAAAAGGTAATGCCACAGAGAGAGAGAGAGAGAGAGAGAGAGAGAGAGTACGTAATAAAGAGAGAGAGAGAGAGTATAACAAGAGAGAGAGAGAGTAGTAACAAAGA